TCCACCATTTGAGATGTTGTATGGATGGAGATGTCGCACCCCAGTCTGTTGGGGGTGAAGTCGACCACAGGGTGATGGGTCGGACCGAGGTAGTTATGCATACTACCAAGAAGATTTAACAGATCAGGCAGCGGTTACAGACTGCACATAGTCAGCAGAAGAGTTATGTCGACCGACGTCGATCCGAGTTAGAGTTCCATGTTGGCGATATGGTATTGCTAAAGGTCTCACCCTGGAAGGGTGTGATCCGCTTCAGGAAGAAAGGAAAATTGGGTCCCCGATTCATTGGACCCTTTCAGGTTATTGCCAGGGTTGGCAAGGTAACATATAGACTGGATCTCTCGGAGGAGCTCAGTCAGATTCACAACACTTTTCATGTCTCCCAGTTGCGGAAGTGCATACTAGATAAGGAGGCAGTGGTGTCATTAGACGATATTCAAGTCGATGAGAGCTTGAATTATGTAGAGAGGCTTGTGTCAGTTCTAGAAAGGAAAGTGAAGGTTCTACGGAACAAGGAGGTACCTTTGGTAAAGGTATAATGAGAGCATCGGAAGGGATCTGAGTGGACTTGGGAGCCGTAGGCTGAGATGTGGGAGCATTACCCGAATCTGTTTGCTGCAGCGGACTTCGAGGGTGAACTCTAGTTCAAGTGGGGGAGAATTGTAACATCCCTACTCCTATGTATTGATTTGAAGCTTTTATTTTCACATTTTTAGATCTACTCGACGAGTTGGCTGCCCCAACTCGTCATGTAGAAACGAATCAGGTCGCGTGAACTTTAGGAACTACTCGACGAGTTAGAGGACCCCATCTCAACGAGTTGAGGTTGTGCATGAAAATCCTAATTTTTAGGGTTTGTACTCTATTTAAAGGACCTTAAGTCCTCTATCCAGATTCCCTTACCACTTTCACGTCCAAAGACAAACCCTAATCAAGCTAACCTCCCTATGAGTGTGTGTGACGCTAAAAGAGTGTGTGTTTGTTGCTTTTCTTGAAGAGGCTTGAGGATTGAGAAGCTTGGAACGAGAAGGGGCTTGTAGATCCAACATCTACTTTGTTTTGGCATTCATCTGAAGGTAAAAAGTCTTTACCTTGGTCATTTTCTTGTTAGATCTTTCCACACAAAAGTTTAGGGCCATTTCTAGCTTATTCTTGAAGCACTTATGGTTATGAGCACGTTATGGGGTGAGGAGTTCAAATCTGGACTCCTCCAGGCCCTCATAGATAGAAATTTCCCGACTTTAGCAAGCTTTGGCCTTCTCCACGACCTAAACCTCTTGTTAAGCTTAGTTCTAGGGTTTTAATCCCTTTAAGGCCTTGGATGCATGTAAAGTTGGAAACTTTACGTGAATCTACATAATAGGAAACTAGGTCTACAGTTTGGAGCCTTGGTTTCGCTTAAAAGAATCTGAATGAGAAAAGGGAAAAAGGAACTCGACGAGTTGCATAAGCCAACTTAACGAGTTTGGTAGGGTTTACCCGCCTTCTGGATTCTGAGTGAACTCGGCGAGTGGGTGAGATGACTCAGCGAGTCGATGAGGGTTTTTCTGATCTTCTAGACACTGAAGAACTGGACGAGTTACTTAGGTAACTCTGTGAGTCGAATCGAGTTTTCAGTTTAGGAGTTCTGAAGGAACTCGATGAGTTACTTAGGTAACTCGGCGAGTTAGCTCTAGCTTTCTGTTTTTGAGTTCTGAAGGAACTCTACGAGTCAGTGGATGGACTCGATAAGTTGGGTCAACATGGACTGTTGACCTTGACTTTGACCAAGGGTTGACCAAGTTTGACTTTAGAGGGTATCTTGGTAATTTGGGATTTTAATGGAATACGTTATATGATGGTTACAGGTAGTTGAGTTTGGAGCCGGTAGTTGGGGATTGATATTCTTGATTGAGCACTACTTATGATGTGAGTTGTCCTCACTATACTAACAAGGTCGAAGGCACCAATGCCGACCCTTTTTGGATTGTTATCCTAGTTATTGCATGATGATATGCTTAGTGAACTGTTAGGTCGGTATCCTGGTATATAGGATGATGTTATGTTAGTGACTTGTTAGGTCTGTATCCTGGTACATAGGATAATGCTATGATTAGTGATTTGTTAGATTGTTTTGATTGTTTATGTATGTTATCTAGCATATGATAATTATGTGATTGATTGTATGATTGCAGGTAGGTTGAGGCGGACCTTCTTCGTGCTCTAGGCCAACAGACCCAAGGCGGATCGGATAGATTGCTGACCCATTATGGCATATTTGTCAGGATGAAGGCCCGAAGAACAGTCCAGACATGCTGAAGGCCAATGAAGACGAACCAGACATGCTGAAGCTTCTTAGAGTAGGTCAGATATATTGAAGGCCCGGTGAGGATGGTCCAGTCATACTGAAGACTCTATATGCATGTTGTTTGTTTGTTATGATATGGTTAATGTTTGTATGACGTTGGCATTCTAGAGGAACTCACTAACTTTCGGGCTTACAGTTTTGGATTTTGTTTCAGGTACTTTGGATGATCGTGGGAAGGTGAATGCATGATCGTGCACCTCCTCACATTTTATGATTTTGATTTCTGGGATACTCTGATATGAAACTATTTTGAAAACATTTTTTTAATATATAATGACTTTTGGATGTTTGAAAAGTTTTAAATTTTCATGAATTTTATGGATGTTACAACAACCATAATATATATATATATATATATATATATATATATATATATATATATATATATATATATATATATATATATATATATATATATATATAGAGAGAGAGAGAGAGAGAGAGAGAGAGAAAGAAAAGTGGGTCCAATATGAATTATTCATTTTGCTTTCTATTTTTTTAAAAATAGGGTTAGGTAAAATTAATTTTAAAAAGAAATAAAAAGGACATATAAATCTTTTTATATGGGTAAGTAATTGTTTGTTAACGGTTTTGAAACCATATGGACCATCTATGATGTTTTTAGAATAGGGAGTAAACTTCAGATTTCGAGATACACAGAGACCATTTATGAGGTTTTTCTATTTTTTTTGTCTCATTGAAAGATAAACATGGCTTGCAATTCGAGGATGAAAATTAGAGAAAAACGGGACCTTTGAAGAGACTTGGACACATATATCATATAACAAGACACCAGGCATAAGTATTTAACTATTTATCTCGCGCAAGTGATGTCTAACCTAGCTGGGTTGATGCATCAGATTTTATATCCATATGAGGCGTGAGGTTCTGAGTTCGATTCCCTTAAACTACATCTTATGTTGCCATATGTGGAGAATTTTTTCATGGAAATCCCAATAGGGGTGGGTTTGTCCTGTATAGGAGCTCGAACCCGTGGTGCTCGTCAAAATATTGTGAGTAGACTTCTACTTAATTCGTTTGTTGTTAAAGAAAAACTATTTATCTCGAAAGACATGATCTTTCCGGTGGTGTGAAACATCAATATGAGTAATATTTCATAAAAATATGAAAATTCATCAATATGAGTAATATTTCATAAAAATATGAAAAAAAAAACTACAAAAAAAAAAGAAATATTAACTCCTATTACTAAAATTGTTCTTACTTTTGCCGTATTAATTTGTGAAATAAATAGCACATAGACCGTTATAAGATAATAAGAATTGTTTTGTATACAACAATATATATATATATATATATATATATATATATATATATAAAGAGAGAGAGAGGTTCATTTAAGACCATGTTAATTTTGTGAGATCGTAAGATGCAATCTAAAAATAATTTTAAAATGCAAAATAAAAAAAAAATCAGAAAGTTTTTTTTTTAATTATTATTTTCATTTTCTTTACCTAAAAAATTACCAATTTTTTTAAATATGTGAAATATTCTAATAGAATATTACGCTGTAAATATTTCAATGTGATTTTTAGAATGTTAGAATATTCTAGTATTATAGTAGATTTGTAAGATATGTAAAATATTCTAATATTCTACTAGAATATTTCATAGATATTTCAATAAAATAGTAACTTTTATTTTATTTATTTATTTATTTGGATAAAAAAGTGATGAAAATAATATTAAATTTTTTTTTCCGAAAAATTTTAATTATTTTTCATTTTAAAAATGTTTTCTTTTATCTATAAAATGAGTAGCTAGGATTGCGTATCGCAGTCTCACAAACTATATATATATATATATATATATATATATATATATATATATATATATATATATATATATATATATATATATATATATATATATGTGTGTGTGTGTGTGTGTGTGTTTTAAAATATTATACTATATGATCCTATAAAATATAAATTATTATGTATGAAAAAATTATGTATGAATCACTTCCCTAAAAGTAATTTTACATACCATTTTACGAAATAAGTTTTTATTAAATAAATGATTATTTTATGATAATTTTCTAGAAGATACGTCATTTTGTTCCAACATCTTTCTATTTTGGTTATCGTAGTGATTAATGCTAATCTTCCATATAAAGAAATCACTAGTGCATTATCTTTCATGCCATTAGTGCTTTTGCAAAGTCCATACTCACGTAAATATAATCTTTTAAGTAACCTTAGTTTTAAATAAATCATAGTGCAATGGTTATCGATTAGGGTCCATAGTGCATGCAATATCATTCGTCAAACTATTCATAGTGCATATTACAATAGTACTCAAAAGATATCATGAAGTATTAGCATACAAATCAAATCTTGCTGACACTAATAATGAAGAACGAAATTAATATAAACTTATAATCATTCAAACTTTTGATAATTGGCTTTGCATATATACTAAAAAAACTTATCATCATGGATGAGGTCCCATGTTGTTGGAGATATATAACTATATAAGATAGGTAATGGTACTCTTTTGCTTAATAATGATTCAAGGGTAACGTTGTCAAAACACCATGAAATGCAACATGTGCAAATGAGGTCATCACTATCCACAAAAGAGTCCAAAAGATGTAATTCCAAGGGTAAAGTTGTCAAACACCTCTTGCAAATGAAAAAAAAAAAAAAAAAAAACCCAAAAAAGGGTAAATCACGTTTTTGCCACATGGGTACCCAAAAAACAATGAAAAACTATCCAAAAACAGGTATGAATCCCTCCACTAACATTAAGAGCATAACCCTCTCTACTTAGAAAATTAAGAAAAGCTCTTCAGCTTTGAAGCAGCTTGGCTATCCAAAAACCAAACCAACTTCCCAACAACCGGTTCAATCATCCTAGCTGGCAACACCTCACACTCGGGTCCCACATCATCTATCGCCAGCCTGGCAGCTTCTGCCTTTCCGCCACCTGTCACCACCACCACCACATTGGCAGCAGAGTTGATAACGGGCAGGGTGAAGGTGATTCTTTCGGGCGGAGGTTTAGGCGAAGTGGTGATGAATGTCACCCACTCGTTTTTTTCTTCAAGAACCGAATGGTTAGGGAACAAAGACGCCACATGTCCATCCGGGCCCATGCCAAGTAGGATTAGGTCAAACTTCGGGCAGTCGCTGACGTCAGACACGTTGATGACACGTGTCCTCACAAGTTGTCTGATCACAAACTCGTATTCGGTTGCAGCTTCTTCCGCTGTGAGGGAATCATTGATGGAATGTACATGGCTCGGAACAATAGGTAACTGCAAAAGTTACCGATTAGCCAGATTACTTTCAGTTACCTATTGTTTGAAATAATAGGTAACTGTCTAATCAACTTAAAATCATGATAATCATGATATAAGTTCCTGGGTTTGTCAGAGACAAGCCCAAAAACTTTTAAATATTGATTTAATTTATTGGGTTTGTGTCTATCACTACTCAGTTATAGACACAAACCCAATATCTAACTGTTCAACTTAAAACTACGATGGAAGTTATTGGTGGACCACTAAAGGTGGTCCACATATTGTATATGAAAAGCTGAACAAACTACAAATCGAATACGTAACTATTGTAAAGGGATAGACCCTTAAATTGTTGGCTTCAAGTGAATATTAAAAAATAAAAGTGGGGAACTTTTGTCCCACAACAATATCAAATAAACAAAGGGATAATGTGGGTAACAACTGGAAATGTGATTAAGATCTTAAAAATCAAGAAATGGATAAGGCAAAAACAAGATTAGTGTTCTTTTGATTATGAAATATTTCTAGATATAAACTATAAAATAAATCGACAATCTTTATGCAACGAATATTAAATCAAGAAAGATAACCAGATCCAATTATAAAACAAGAATTAATTAATTACCTTAGACAAAAGATGATCTTTTGCAAGTTTATAGTTACTATCGACATGATTTTTGGCAACCACACGTTCATCTGCCCAAAATATATACCATTTGGACCAATCTACGGTTTTGTTATAAGGAGCTCCACATAGATTCCTGTTTAAAAATCATATTATTCGATGAACAAAAATATCAATAATTGATCAAATAATAATTAAATATTGTATTTGTAATTGTACCTCATTAAGCTAATGAGAGAACCTCCAGACAAAGCAATGGCGAAAACGCCACGTTCTTTCACAGATGCCTCTGATAATTCTGCCACGTAATCAGCCAAATCTGTGCTAAGTTCATCCAAATTTTCATGAATCCTCACTTCACCCCTGTCTTTTTTCGATTCCATATTTCAATTTAATTTCTGATTCATCAAAAGAAACATAATTCAATGTGATCATCATGTCATGTCTTGGATAAATCATAATGAAATTTTTCTTGAATAACAATGAAGAGTTGAAGATTTAAGAAAAGTAACGGATTTTATAGTAAAGAAAGTAAAAACAGAGAGATAATATCATACTACTGCATTCTAGAAAAATCCAGATCACAATTAGGTATACAAAGACAAAAGAAATTAAACAAAATTATCCTCGACATCATACATTCTTGAAGCTGCAATGAAAAATCTAGGATCATAATTTATGAGAGAGAGAGAGAAAGGGGGGGCTTACAAATAAGAAAAAGAAAGGGGGGATGCGTGGCAAAAGAAGGAAGAAGATGATTAAAGTGGAAGTTGGGTATGAATATATATAAAAAAAACTCACACTTATTACACACACAAACACACAGTGACGATAGATACAAACTATTGACTCTGATCTTGATGCTTTGCTTACATTTTTACTGATTTGTATAAAACTTGAATAAAATACAATCAAGATGTCGTAACATGGAGTCATTGGGGCCAACCCCTTGAAGAAATAATTAATTTATAAAAAGAAAAACAAATAAATGTATGCAATGAGAAAACGAAAGAAATTTCTGCTTCGCGTACCCCACGTGCATCCAATGATCGTCAGAGAAATAGTTACAGAAGCAATCAAAAACAAAAACCCTTTTTTTTTCTTTTTATCTTTCTATCCCTAAAACCCTGATTTCGAACAAGAAGAGAAGTGAAGAAGGGATAGATTGAGGATTTGTTAATCCCTTAGGGTCTTCATCTTCATCGTTTTAATGGTGGAAATTAGGGCATTTTGGAAAGTGAATAATGAATTGCAGAGAGAGTACGAGGGCGATGGGATTTTGATTGGTTTAATAATCCGTGGATGCTTCTTTGCAATATATCATCGAATGGAGGTTTGGATGAGACAAATCAGTTGCATTTATTTCTTTCTTTTTTCGATCATTAAATACAAAATAGAAAAAGAAATTGTTTTTATTTATTTTGTGAGTGGAGACAAAATTTAAATGTTTGATACTTGCTAACCTAGTAATAAATATATCTTAGGAGTTAATTAAATCAGATTCCACTTTTTTTATTTGACCCAATAAAAATCATATCAAATAACCTCTTAAGATATATGTATATGAAAATATTTTGATACAACAAATAAACAACCTAGTATTAAATAAATAAATAAAAAGCAATTTGGTATTAGATTATACATGTGTGTGGTTTGGCATGAAAATAAACGAAAAAGATAATAAAACTAAACATCACTTTGAATCAATCATTGCTTTGGATATTTTTTTGGACAATTGGAGTAAATATGTAATATTTAAGATGAAGATATCTTATTCGTGAATATTTATATAGCCAACCACTTTTTTATTATCAATTTTTGTGATTACTATATTAATTTTTATTAAAATACTGTAAGATGCGTATAATATAATAAAGATAAACAATATTTATGAGCTAAAATATTAAAACACAACCAGAAACTCAGAAGCTCTCTATAGTCTATACTCTTGTTATATTATATTACTTGGCCAATCGATCTCATATGAATTATAAGTATGAGTTATTCGGTTTGAATCAAAGTTTAATTTTTTGTATTATTTGAAACATGCTAGATTATTTGTTTACACTTAAAATAAAGGTTAATTTCACCATGTGTCTATTTTGGTTTTAAAAAATCCCTCGTATTTTTTTAGGTAGTCTTTGTTGTTTCAACTTGCATTTCACCTATTAGAAACGTCATTCACCAAACTGAAATGGTAAACCGGAATGCTCCTATATGACATCCTTGTAAGCATTTATTTGTGTTTGCCATGTGTGTAAAAAGAAAATAATATAAAGTTGCATTTTTAATATTAATATTTATATTTATTAATAAAGACTCAGAACAAACCTCCTCATTCGAATCAAAAGTGTATACAAAAAAATCCGCTTTTCTCTAGATTCATTGCCTTCTTAGTCTCAAGAATAATAACATTGTATTCGTGGTATAATGTCTTTGTTGATATTAACTTGCATGGAGTCTTGGTTGGGTACCCTTTTTCATATGATGATGAAATATTGACATGCATTAACTAGTTGAGAGACGTAGATTTAGTTGGTATGGATTTTGATGAATGCGTAAGTTTTATGGAAAGATTGACACAAGAACATTATCTACAACTTTATTACTGCATGCCTAATAAATGTTTGAAAGATGGTATATGTTTAATTAAGAATGGAGTTGGATATGCCAATTTTCTCATGGTTTGATTATAGTAGATAATGCAAAATTTCTATGTACATGACAACTTTATTTACAATAATGGTTTGATAACGACCAAGAAGTAGTTGAAAGTTTATGGACAAAACTGTAATATTAGTGTAATATTAGTCCATGTGTTATTCAAAAAACTTTGGATATGATCCAAAAAGTTTTTCACTTGCATAAAAGGTTTAAAATCAAGGGTTTTCTGTGTTTTTAGTCCAAAAACATTTGAAAAGACGGTTATACCCTTTTACTTTCTTTTTTATATATTTTTTATTTTTCAAATGCTATTTTAATTTAAAAATAAAAAGAAAAAAAATAACTCTCTCTCTCTCTCTCTCTCTCTCTCTCTCTCTCTCTCTCAAACACAAAGTGGAGGGGGCATGCTTCTTAGCTCTTCATTCATCCTCCATCTTCTTCTTCAACAAACTCACACCGGTATCTCCACATTTCCTTCTTAACAAACATCCTTAGAAAATTGATTTCCAAAACCTAAAATCAATTTATGTATATGTAGGGCTAACTGGATGAAATCCCTTTTATATCTTCATCTCAAACCAAAATTATATTGATAGATATAGTGATGATGTATTTAAAAAAAATTGTTTGATCTGAAAAAGAAAAAGATTATCAATATGTAGGAACAACAACAAGAACGAAGACAAAAATACATTAAATCCAGAAATCGACATCAATCCACATTCAACGAATCCACACATATATGGGTTGCTCTGACGAATGCTTTGAGGATAGTTTGATGGGCGGTTAATGCTCCTCCACCACCGGAATCACTGATGCTTAGATATGAATTCGTTTATGTGTCGTCGGTGGTGCTCGTCGATTATCAGGAGGTTGGAGATCCAAAGTGTATGTTCACTAGTAAGAACAACGTGTCCAGGTGCTTTAAATCGCTTGATGGACAGATCTGAAGTAGAAAGCCCGCCCTAACTGAAGAATGACAACGAAAACCCTAACCAAATAATGAAGTCGTCATCGAGATTTGTAAAAAACCGTAACTGAAAAACGGCGGCGATGAAAACACTACTGATGCCAACCTTCTTCCTTCGTCGGCATAGCCGATGACAGTTGGTGGCACCAGAGGCTAGGGTTTTGATAAGGGTTCGTTGGCAATGAGAGAGATGGAGAACACCCGGTTCATTACAGATCTAAGGTTGTGGCATCGGATGCGAGGGTTTTTTCAAAGAACATTATAGATCTTCACTCACCTTCACCATGAACACAAATTGCAGGTGGAGAAGACACAGTTCATCGGTTCTTCACATTTCTTAGAGAATAAACTTTGTTATTGGACTTGCGTGAAGGGGGAAGAAAGGGGGCACATCTTGGTTATTAAACAACTTCAAATGGATATCAATTTTCATATTGAAAAACAATCCCGTTCAAGCTATCCCATTTTCTTTTCTTGGTTGTCAGGTTGAATTTAGAAGGGTAAAAAGAAGTTGAAGAGAAGAAACGATGAACAACAAAACCATGGTTCGGGGAGAGAGAGAGAGAGAGAGAGAGAGAGAGAAAGAAAAAGAGAGAGAGAGAGAAAGAAAGAAAAAGAGAAATTTCTTTTCTTTTCTTTTTATTTTTAAATTAAAATAGCATTTGAAAAATAAAAAATATATAAAAAAGAAAGTAAAAGGGTATAACCGTCATTTCAAGTTTTTTTGGACCAAAAACACAGAAAAACCTTGATTTTGGGCCTTCAATGCAAGTGAAAATATTTTTGGACCCTATCCAAAGTTTTTTGAATACCACAGGGACCAATCTTACAGTTTTGTCAAAGTCCATGCAATTACCAGTCACGTAGTGAAGATAAGGGTAAAAGAACTTGCTTTCATATAATTTCTCTAGTGATGTGAACTAAATGATGAAATTTGTTGTTTAACCAAGATAAATAATGACTCATTTTTATGTAAGCTTTGTGCTGATGAAGAACTCAAACCAAAAGAGAAGAAGCGGATAATGTTGATAACGAATGGGGTTTACATGAAGTTAGAGATAGTGTAAAAAAATGCCATCATTCAAAATTTAATGAGTCTATAACCATCATTCACTTAGAAGCTAGTACTAGATATGATATTTGAAAACCTAAACAGCAGAAACGTATGCTTTGAAATTATGTTTTTGCAAGTGGTTATCAATTATGTTTCTAAAAGAATGATAATAGAAGACTTTTAATTAAGTTGTCAACGACATTGTACTTTCAAGCTATGGGGTCATGGATGAGTGATGAACACTTATTCTTAGAAAAAAATTAACAAATAACCATAATTATGCTAGAAATTACAAGATGGGTTTAATTGCATACTATGCATGGATTGAGAAGCACTACACCAAAGGAATATTTCATAAGTAGAAAACAAGTGTTAAAAAACTTAGAGTTGAGGTTAAATAAAAGGTTGGGATTAAACTTAGTGTTGGACAATGTTAGAGGACCAAAAAAAAACATGCATTAAATTTTACTGGTGGTGATCTTCTTGAGCACTATGCAAGATTATGGTCATATATTGAGGAAATTAGGATATCAAGCTCAAATTCTATTGTCAAGATAGATGTAAACTATGTTAGATTGAAAAAAATTATTTTAACAAGTCTTATTTGAGAGATATGTTTGATTAAGTGAAAACATTTAAGAGAAATCGTGGTATTCTAAATTTGAGATAGATTGTACATAATTAAAATGTGATACTATAGACTATAATAAATGTTTACCAATTAATGAAATATTTTATGAAAAGAATGACTATACACAATAAGGTAGTAAACATCAGATCTTTTATATAAATGAATAAGTTCGTGATAAAATTCTACACAAAATTATGTAGAGCATAATAATGTCTATAATTTCATCAATGTTACGACACTCAAAAATACCAATTAGAAACAACTCAAACCCTTCATAACTCTATCATCCACAAATGACCAACCTATTTATTTGTCATCCATACTCAATTATCTCGGTATGAGACTGCATTATGGTCTGTATCCAATGGAAACTAGGTTCACTCAACCAACAACAAACAATTTCTACCTCCTTCGAATGTTTCTAGAAACTCAACCCTAATCCTAACCCAAAACCCAATCACAAATCTAATCATAATCTCAACTACCCAAATCCTAACCAAAAAACCCCCAAGTCACCCCCCTCCCAAATAAAGCTTTAGACTTGATATACGAGATGGTTTTGGTCGTAGCATGGTTTAATAAATCGGAGGATCCAAAGGTCTACAACAACCAAAAGAGCCAACTTTTTGGAGGCAATTTCTTAAACGTTCCCAAAAAGAAATGAATCAAAGATACTACCAAAGCAAAAACTCAATATACACAAAATGGGGGATATGAATAAATAGGTAATAATGTTGTTAGATAGTATGTCCAATGTCATTAAATATTGGTAATATTTTTAATAATAACATGATCCTTTTGGGTTGCCACCATGACCCATTTGAGCAATAAGAAATTAGGAGAAATTAAGTTTTTTATTTTATTACGAATTAATAAATTAATTGGAAATTATTTTGTAATTAACTAAATAGTTTTAATTAATTAAATGGGATGCATATTAATTAATTTATTGGTAATTAAGTAGAATATTTTAGAACCCTCCAAAATATGGCAGGGACGAAAATACTAGGGGATTAGGATAATGTAGGTTTTGAATAAAATATAAGGATTATCTTTGGGTATTTGAATTACTTAAGGATTTAATCGGAGGCTATAAATAG